CAAATGGAATGCCCTTCCGCCAGTCTTCCCATGCTGCCAGCCTCCTGCTTTCAGGTCTCCACTCAAAAGTCACCTCCTCAAAGAGGCCTTCCCTGACTGCCCGCAACTGCACCTCCCCTCTTTCCCCTTCTTCTGGCTTATTTTCTTTGTGTCGGGTATCACCGTCGGCTTCCTTCATCTGTTGGTTTACTCCATTGTTATATTTCTCCCCTCTGGTATCAGTCAGGGTCCCTGCAAAGAACAAAACCAATAGTTTTTCATTTTATATATATGACATATATTATTAATCATATTTTATGTTAAAAATCATACTAATTATATAATATGTCATATTATATATTTACATATAAATTATTTGGGTCGCCTGGGTGGCTCGGTTGGTTAAGCATCTGCCTGTGGCTCAGGTTATGATCCGAGGATCCTGGGATCCAGTCCCGCATCGGGCTCCTGGCTCAGCGGGGAGCCTGCTTCTCCCTCTGCCTGCCACTCCCCCTGCTTGTGTTCCCTCTCTGTTAAATACATAAATTAAGAAGCTTTAAAAAAAAGAAATTATTTGTTTGTGTTACTGTATTTATTAATTTACACATTCTTTTTTAATATATATTATACAATTATTGTACTTTTGTGCTATACATACAGTTATGTGCAATTACATATAATTGTATATATAATTATAGATATCTTTTACATGTATATATAGAATATATTATATACTTTTGTATATCATTTTGTACATGAGTTTATTTATTTTGAGAGAGTAAGCAGGGCGAGGGCAGAGGGAGAGGGAGAATCTCAAGCCGACTCTGTGCTGAGCGCAGATCTCATGACCCCGAGATCATGACCTGAGCCGCAATCAAGAGTCTGACTGAGCTGCCCAGGCGCCCCGAGTAGGTTATTTTCCACGCACAGGACTTAATCCAAGGCAGCGGCTCACACCCCGCAGGGACAGGGACGGGCAGGCTGTGGTGACACCACTGGCCGGAGGCAGAGTTGCTTCCTCCTCTGGGAAACCTGGATGCCTTTCGGTGGCAGGAGACCCACATTGTCGCATATGGTGTCTTCTCCTTAGCGTCCCAGGATTGTGGATGTCTGTCTGCCAAACACCTTGACAGCAGCACCTGGATGGTGTTTGATCGACTAACCGTGGCTGGGGATCTGTCCTCACTCTGCACGGAATGGGGATGTAGCCCAGAGCCCCAACACCCAACATGCATTTGTTAACGGAATGAAAAGGAGGTGCTAGTTCTGTTCCCATTTTACAGAGGAGGGAAACCGGCTCGGAGCAGGAAGGGTACCACCCACGTGCGTTGCCCTGCAACGTGGCAGAGCGGGAGTGTGCTTCCAGGCTCTCTCAGACATCCACTCTATCTCCCTGGGGCCTCAGTTTCCCCGTCTGCACCGAGCAGCTGGATGCTTTCCCCACCTTGACGTTTCAGCTGCGGCCGGGCCACGTTCCACTTGGTTGTGACCAACAGAGGATTTACGTGGACCCGTCCAGGGTTGGGAAGCTGCATCACATCCTGATAGGAACCAGACAGCCCGGGCTGCAAAACAGCACAGCTTCCTTCTGGTGGGGGAGGGGGGAGATGGTGGCAGGACAGGGGGTCCAGAGGACCCCTGGCTGGACAGAGGACCGGGCGCCCAGGCCCATGGATTTTTCCGTTGTCCCATTGGGGTCGGTGCACGTGTGCTGAACGAGCACAAGGGGGCGGTAGAGAGCAATGACTGGAATCAACCACGGGGTGGTTCCTACTCCCCTCCCCCCAGGGAGTCCCAAGGCCAGCCTCAGTTTCCTCCTCTGTGCAGTGGGCTCCTCCCTGCCTGCTAGGGGTGCTGTGAGGAGCAAGTAAGATCATGCCATGAACATCCCGAGCCGGCACGCAGCGAGTGCCCTGCCCGTGGGGTAAGTTAGATTCCAGACCAGGAATTGCAGCCGGAGACATCGATGGGCACCTGGCAGGCAGTGGACATGCTGGAAGGAGCCAGAACAACATTCCAGCACCCAGGGGAGCAGGAGTGGCCCATAATCCGCTCCTGGTGGGTGGCTGCCACTCACAGAGGGCAGGTCCGTGGTTGAAGAAAAGACAGAAATCCAAAGTTTTTGTGTCACGTCTCTGATTTGACAGCAAACCTAAAATGTTTTTAAATGCTGCGTGGGCAGGACAAAACTAGAGGTGGTGCCTCCACCGTCAGTCTGGAGTTGGGGGTAACCTGGCAGGTGGCGGGTGTGTTTCCTGGGCTCCGGGGCCCTGGACTCCTTCATGAGTCACCCATGTTGAGAGGCCCAGACAACAGGGAGCAGTAGGGACATGAAACAGGCCTGGACGTTGGCTTGTCAGCCCCGTCTGCCTCTTCTGACTTTATTCCAAGCTTGTTTTTCTTTTAACTGAGGGAAAATTCCCAGAGCTTAAAAGCAACGGTCTTAAGTGCACCACTCAGTGGCATTTGGTCCATTTAGAATGTTGTGCAGCCCCCACCTCTGTCTAGTTCCAGAACATTCCATCACCCCAAAATAAGACCTCGTCCCCCTTGGCAGCCACTTGTTACCCCATCTCCCCACCCCCGGCCCCCGCAAGCCCCCTTCCCGTCCGCGGATGAGCCCGTTCTGGACGTGTCACCCACGTGGACGCACACCCCGCGTGGCCGTCTGTGTCTGGTTCCCTCCCCGAGCGTCGTGGGCTCGGGGTCCGTCCCCGGGCCAGTGCATGTGGGCGCCTCACTCCTGCTCGCGGTCGATGTGTCGCAATCTGTCGATGGACACTTGGAGTGTTTCCACGTTTTGGCTGCTGTGAATCATGTCGCTATGAACACGGGGGTGTGAGCTTTTGTGTGGACACGTGTCTTCACTTCCTGTGGGCCTGTTCCGTGGGGACCTTTGAGCTACATGGGAGCAGAGTGAGGTCCCGTTCTTCCCTTACCCCCCAGACCCTCCACTGCGCCTGGGGGGTAGTGGTTGCTCCACGAACACTGGAAGTTAATGAGTGGGAGGAAGGGGAGCAGAGGAAGAAGGGCATCAGCCCTGACAGGAACAGAGACAGCAAGGGAATGAATGGTTTTCAAAGGAAAGGAAAACGCATTCCATCACTCCATCCCCTCCTCTCCTGAACATCTCCCCATTCAGCCCTGCTGGCACTGCTGGGTCACAGGGGTTAATTAGTGCTTTTCCGAGTCAGCATGCCCTGAGCTAGAGCGCTCTGCAAAAGTTCTGCCTCGTTGACTATTTCCCGGGAGCAAAGGAGCTGGAGCATCTGGGTCAAACCCAGGCAGCGTGAGCTTTCGCTCCCAAAAGTGGCCTGGGCATTGCCAGAAAAAAAGAAAGTCTTATTTTGCAAATCCATGCTCAGCCAAGGATTAAAGGGGGACAAATGCATAGTTGGCAGTTGGCAGCATTATTTAAAAAAACAAAACTTTTGGGGCGCCTGGGGTGGCTCAGTCGGTTAAGCGTCTGCCTTTGGCTCAGGTCGTGATCCCGGGGTCCTGGGATCGAGCCCCACGTCGGGCTCCCTGCTCCGTGGGAAGCCTGCTTCTCCCTCTCCCACTCCCCCTGCTTGTGTTCCCTCTCTTGCTATATTTCTCTCTGTCAAGTAAATAAATAAAATCCTAAAAACAAAACAAAAAACCAAAACTTTACCTTTTAGAAGTTTTAGATTTACAGGGGCACCTGGGTGGCTCAGTCGGTTGAGTATCCAACTCTTGATTTTGGCTCAGGGCATGCACGGTCTCAGGGTCAGAAGATCAAGCCCTGAATCGGGCTCCGTGCTTAGTGGGGAGTCTGCTTCTCTCTCTCTCCCTCTGCGTCTCACCCCCCACCCGTGTCTCTCTCTAAAAAAAAAAAGGTAAATAAATAAAGAAGTTTTAGAATTACAGAAAATTTGCAAGAATATTACAGAAAGTTTCCGTATGTTCTGCATTCAGCTTGTCCTATGATTAACATCTTATATTAGAAGATGTTCATCTGTTACAATTAATAGACCCATGTTGAAACATTCTCAGCAAAGTCCACAATTTATTCCGATTTCCTCAGTTTCCCCCCATGTCCCTTTTCTGTCCCAGGCTCCCATGTGACACAGAGTTGTCACGTCTCCTTGGGCTACTCCGGGCTGGGACAGTTTCTCAGACTTCCCTGGTGTTTGATGCCCCTTGACAGTGGCGCGGAGGACGGAGAGGGGTTTTGTAGGAAGCCCCTTCCTTGGATTTGTCTGGGGTTTTTCTCATGGTGAGACCGGGGGGATGGGTTTTGGGAGGAAGACCTCCAAGTCAAGTGCCCTTCCCCTGATGCCATCTCAGGGGCGGAGGACGTGCCATCACCATGGCTTGTCACTGAGGACGTTGGCCTTGGTCCCCTGGCTGAGGTGGGCGGTCAGGTGTCTCCACTGCTTGGTCACTCGCTTCCCCTCTGCATGCCGGGGCTGGGGAGGGACACTCTGTAAGCCCACGCTTACAGAGAAGGGAGTCCTTCTCTGTCTCCTTGACGGCAGAGAAATCGACATACATTATTTGGAATTCTTCTGCACAGAAAATTTGTCTCTTCTCCCTATTTATTCATTCATTTATTTACATCTTTATGGACTCATAAAATGTGTTTTGTTGCTCGAACTGTTCCGGCGTTGGCCACGGAGAGCTCTTTTGGTTGATCACTGTGTTTTCTTGACATCTTCTTGCAGCATTTAGTAGCCAAAATTCATCAGAGACCAAACTCTGCTGGGCCACCCCTGAAAAGTACTGCATATATTCCAAAGTGAAACTGTGTGACACAGTACTGCATGAGACCCTCCTTCTCTCTGGGCTTTGGCTTTCTGCATCCAAAAGGAGGAAAGAACAGCTTAATATCCACGAGACCATCTGAAGGGAGCCCTCCGGCACTGATGTGTTATGATCTTCTGTGCCGACGAGCAGGTGTGTTCTGTCCCAGTGACTCCCCAGAACTAACCAAGTCTTGTTGCTGTTTGTTTGCTCCCTGCGCTCCGGTGGCTGATGTCTGCGCTCGGCCGGGTCTGCAGGCCACTCCCGGAAGAGACGGCGATGGACCCACTTGGCAGCCCCACGGAAGACACGTCCTGTAAGTGTCCGCTTCGGTGTGCAGAAATGGGCGCATTGTTTCCAGATCTCGCTCTGCCTGAGGCTGAGACTATAGACATGTCAGAGGCCGTGCCTCCTGGGTGGAGTGTTAGGGAAGGGGGTTGTTCTGCTCTGAAGCCTGGAGGGAAAGCAGCCAGGGTGAGTGAGAGAGACATGTGGGCCCAGTCACGAAGCTGGCATGTGGTGTTGCTATGTGTCCTTGAGCCGGTTGCTCAGGCTTTCTGTGCCTCTGAGTCCTCATCTATTAAATACAGGTAGTGAGCTTCCTGCTGAAGGGGGCATGCAAGGACTTAATGAGGTGACATGTATAAAGTGCCCAGGGGTTGCCAGGCACAAAGTTAGCCCTGGGAAGGCTCTGCTGCCCTAAACACTCAGGAGGGCTCAGGGCTCCAAGGTTCCAGAGGAGTTGCCCTGAACATGTGTTGTTCTCCATGGCATCTCCTCAGAGTCCTGCTGGGGGCCCCCCTTCTGCCTGCATTTCCCCCTTGTGGCTCATCACAGTGCCCACCCTTTCTGAGAAAAGAGTGACCAGAGAGGGACAGCCACATCCTTGACATCACACAGCACTAAGAGAGGCATGAATCCCCTTTGGACCCCTGTTTCCTACTTCTGTACAGTGAAGAATGTGTAATAACAGTACCCCACTTCCTAGGTGTGGCTGGTTGAATAACAGCCCCCAAAGATATTCAAATCCTAAACCTGGAATCTGCGAATGTCCCCTCACATGGCCAAAGGGACTTTGCAAAAGAGATTTATTGAGTTGAGGAGATGGAGAAGACGTGGTGGTGAATTTTATGTGTCCACTTGGCTGGGACACAGTACCCAGAGATGTGATCAAGAAATATTCTAGGTATTCCTGTTGAGAGTCACTTTTTTGATGACATTAACATTTAAATGAGTAGACTCTGAGTAAAGCAGATTGCACTCCATAATGTGGGTGGGCCGCATCTAATCAGTCGAGGGCCAGTAAAAGGAAGAAGACTCAGGTGTGGTTCATCCTGGGGCAAACCCTCTTCAGCTGTGAACATGTGACACCGGACAGGTTATCTGCTTCCAACGTATGATGGTGGGACATGCATGGGATAGACATTACCTCTGCCTTGCTTCCCTGCTGGGGAGAAGTGTTGTGCAGACGCCCCCATGCTCCCTCTCACCATGCCATGACCTGCAGCTCTGCCGCCTCAGGGAGAGGGAGCCCTGCTTCTACCATGCACCCCTGACTCCCCACTCCCCACCCACTGTGCTGCCCTCGCCAGCCAAGTGGTCCTGGCAGTCACCACCTCAGTGTCCCCATCTGTAAAGTGGGTGACATGGCTTGCCACACCAGGTCATGGTGAGATCTAGAAATCACGCCATTTACCTCCTCGTGTCTCATGAAGCAGTTGCCTCTGACCCGTGGCTTAGGGCCGGAGAAAGTCAAAGAAAGTAAAAAGTGAGGAGCTGGTGCATGTAATTGTGGATTGATGAATGTCTCCATCTGGTGGGAGAGGGGCAGGGCTCTCCCCCTGGCTCTTTATTTTGTCCTCACTGTTCGCCGATCAAACTGGGGGTGACTTCCCAAGGTCTCTGGAAGAGTAGCCTCTTTCCCTCAAGCTGGCTTGGGGGCAGCAGGGGGGGCGCTTTCCTCGCAGGGAAAGTAACCTCCATCACCTCCGAGGGGCCAGCTCTGCTCAGCCCGCTGTGGGATCAGCTCTAACCCCTTGGGGGCAGCCCCGGGGCAGGGAGGGAAGCCACTTTTTACAAGGAGACCAGAGTCCCAGCTCAGAGCGTCCAGGAGAAAGCAGTTCAAACCATGAGGCATGCCCACCCTGACCAGCTCCCGAGAGATCCAGAAGGACCTGCACCCTCCGTGCCTCAGTTTGCTCACCTGGTAAAGGGGATAATAACAGAACTTGCCTCGCATGGATATTGCAAACATGAAAGCACTTCGCAGAGGGCCGGGCCCATGTGGCGTGGTGTCAGTTATTAAAGAGGCGAACATACGGAGAGGTGAAAAGTAGCCCGGGGGGCGTTCTCTGCCGCCCGTATCCAGAGGCAACAGTGATCATCAGATACTGGCGGGTCCGGAGCCAGGTAGGGTGCCCGGGGGGCTCACCCTGTGTGAGTCCCATCTGGCAGATGGTAAAAGTAAGTCAAGCTTAGAGAGTCAAGGTGTCTGCAGGGTGGAAGGTTCCAACATTGAACCCCTGCCTGCCCCCAAAGGATGGTCTCTGACTTCTCACCATTGCACACGATGGGGCGAAGCTCTCACCGGGTCAGGAAACAACGGGGAGGGGACAAAGAAAGAACCAGCGAAGGTGATTTTGTCTCATTTTCCCCTTCTCCACACAGCCCCTCCCAACACGTTGAACTTCAACGGAGCTCATCGGAAGCGGAAGACACTGGTCGCCCCGGAGATCAACATCTCCCTGGACCAGAGCGAGGGCTCCCTGCTGTCTGATGACTTTCTGGACACTCCCGACGACCTGGACATCAACGTGGACGACATCGAGACCCCCGACGAGACCGACTCGCTGGAGTTTCTGGGGAACGGCAATGAGCTGGAGTGGGAAGGTGAGGCCCAGGGGCTCAGGTGGGGCAGGGGCTCCGACCCAGGGCGCACAGAGCAGCCCTGAGAGCACCCGTCCCCGGCTGCGACGCCGCATGCATTCTTCTTGTGGACTTGAGGGTTTTTCTGGGGGGACGTGGCTTTCACGTGGTTCTCAAAGATGACCGGGGCCAAAGTGAAGTGCCTCCAATGATTGCACAGGTGTGTGGGGAACATTTGTGCAGAAGCAGGTCCTGACTGAGATGCGGGGCGGGCGGCGGGGATACGGCGGGGGAGGTGGCGCCCGTCCCCACGCGCGGCCCTCAGGAAGACAGACTCACAGGTGCACAAGCTCGTTGCCACTGGTCGTCGGTGCTAAGAGGAAAGTGGGGTGAGGGGTTGGGACAGGGCAGGGCATGGGGGGCCTCACCTGAGGGGCGGTCCTGCCCCAGGGGTCACGGGGCCATGTCTGGGGATGTCTGCGGCTGTCACACTGGGGGTGCTCCTGGCATTGACGGGGGGGCAGGAGGCCTGCTCAGCACCGCCCCCCACCCCAGCACCCGGGATGCTCCGAGTTTTCTGCGGTGCCGAGAGGGAGAAGGATTTGTTTGTTTTAAAAAGATTTTATGTATTGGGGCACCTGGGTGGCTCAGTCATTAAGTGTCTGCCTTCGGCTCAGGTCATGATCCCAGGGTCCTGGGGTCGAGCCCCTCATTGGGCTCCCTGCTCGGCGGGAAGCCTGCTTCTGCCTCTCCCACTCCCCCTGCTTGTGTTCCTGCTCTCGCTGTGTCTCTCTGTCAAATAAATACATAAATAGAGATTTTATGTATTTATTTGACAGAAAGAGAGAAAGAACAGGAGCAGGGGGAGGGGCAGAGGCAGAGGAGAAGCAGGCTTCCCGCCGAGCAGGGAGCCCGATGCGGGGCTTGACCCCAGGACCCTGGGATCGTGACCTGAGCCGAAGGCAGACGCTTCACCGACTGAGCCACCCAGGTGCCCCTGGTGTTACCCTGGTGTTACGTCTTTAGATGTTTGCTGGAATTCAGCCATGAAGCCACCTGGCCCTGGGCTTCCCTGAGCTGGGGGTTTCCATCGCTGATCCGATTTCCCTGTGTGTTCAGAGGCTCTGGGTCCAAAACCAACAGAGTGCTCTGGGAGGCCAGCAAACGGGAGGCCCCAGAGGGCTTAACTGGAGAAGGTGGCATTTGAGCTGGGCCATGAAGGGAGAGTAGGAGGGGCAAATGGACCAGCAGGGCCTCCAGGCAGGGAGAAGCGCATAGCCACGTGTCACGGGAGAAAGATGAGGGTCACACGTCCACACACAGCAGGGAAGAGGGGTACCGGGCGGGAGGCTGGGACAAAACGTCTGGACTCAGGCGTCCCTTCCGCTCGCCCTGGCCTGCTTCCAGATGACACCCCCGTGGCCGCCGCCAAGAACATGCCCGGGGACAGCGCAGACCTGTTTGGGGATGGTGCTGCGGAGGATGGCGGTGCCACCAATGGGCGCCTGTGGAGGACAGTGATCATTGGAGAACAAGAACACCGAATTGACCTGCACATGATCCGGCCCTACATGAGGGTGGTGACCCACGGAGGTGAGACCGCACCCATCGGGCTCCTCCTGGCTCCCGCCAGCCAACTGGAGGTCGTCAGAGGCCCTCTCTGAACCTCAGTCTCTTCATCTGAGCCACAGGGATGTTAGGTCCTCATCCCCGGGAGGCGGGGGCAGGCATGGACCGGCTGGGCGCACACAGGGGTGCCTGCGAGGGTGGCCGGACAGCCCAGGGGTTTGCTGACTCCCCCAGCCAAGGCGCTGCGACTCAGAGCTGTACCCTCTGGGAAGGGGCCTCGCTGGCGAAGAGGTGGGCGCTTGGGCTAGAGCGCGGGCCAGCTCAGAGTGCCAGCCACTCCCTGGCCGCCTCTCCCCAGGGTACTACGGCGAAGGTCTCAACGCCATCATCGTGTTTGCTGCCTGCTTCCTCCCGGACAGCAGCTCCCCCGACTACCACTACATCATGGAGAACCTCTTCCTGTAAGTGGCCCACCCCGCCCCGCCCCACGCCCACGGTTCTCTCGGCTGCAAGAACCGCCCATCCTCACCCCCGGCCACGGGCCAAGCACGTGGTCTGTGAAGGCGCAGTCCACACTCGGCACGACCCGGGGGAAGGGGGGTAGGCAGGTGCAGCACCTGAGACTCGGGGAGGTTGCGTCACCTGGCCGGGGACACCCTGCTACGGTTGTGTTATGACGGAGACAGACACTACGCCTGGAGGGAAACACAGAGGGCGCCGTAAACCGTGATCACGCCTGTGTTTGGTAGTAGGAAGATTTCCCTCTGACCCGGTGGGGCTGGGGGGCCGGGTGGTTCAGAGGATGACCGGTCAGAGCAGGAAGAGGCCCCAGAAAGCAGGGAACCCCGATCCCCCCCACTTACGGAGGGGAAGTAGAGGCTGAGACAGAGGAAAGGATTTTTCTAAAATTGCTCAGGGAGAGTTGGCGCAGGGACGGACCCCAGACCCCTCATGTCCAGTACAGTGGACTGTCCACTGGGGGGGGTGCGTGTTCCCCAGCTGGATCTGGGGCTGTGAGATCCACCTGTCAGGATTCACGGAGACGCTGGATGAGGTCATGCCTATAAAACACGTGGTGCCTAATAAGTGCTCCATAAAATAGTAACTGCTGCTATGGTTATGCCCACTGACACTGATTTGGGGTGGGCTGGGCTCTACATGCACCCCACCCCGAGTGTGCCAGGACGCCCCCCCACCCCACACCTAAGCAGGTGCCACAGGTGTTCAGTCGCGGGGACTGGGGCTCCCTAACTCTGGCCCTCCCGCCGGGCCCCCCGTCTCCCGCACCTGTGACCAGGTACGTCATCAGCAGTCTGGAACTGCTGGTGGCCGAGGATTACATGATCGTCTACCTGAACGGAGCCACGCCCCGGCGGAGGATGCCCGGCATCGGCTGGCTGAAGAAGTGTTACCAGATGATCGACAGGAGGTGCATGCGTGGGGCCGGGCCGCTGGGGGTTCAAGGGCCCCGGGACCCCTGGAAGGCGGCGTGGTGGTCAGCCCACCAACCGATGACCACAGATGGGCGGTTTGAAACCCACAGGCATGTTTGCCGTCCCGGCTCAGGAGGCCAGAAGCCAGGGAGCGGGGTGTGGGCAGGCCCGGTTCCTTCTGAGGCCGTGAGGGGGAGCCCGTTCCCCGTGTCTCCCGGCTCCTGGGGGTCGTCGGCCATCCTCGGCGTCCCTCGCCCCATCCCTGCCTCCGTGGTCACGTGGCCTGTCTTCGCGTGTCTCTGTCCAGACCCCCCCCCTTTATAAGGACCCCAGCGATTGGACTAGGGCTGACCCTGCCCCGGTGTGACCTCGTTTTAGTGAAATACATCTGCAATGACCTTATTTTCCAACGTCCCGTTCTGAGGTCCAGGGGGGTCAGGACTACAACATAGGAATTTGGGGGGAGATGCAGTGCGACATGACCACAGCTGGCGGTCAGAACCAGGGCGCCCCGGGAGATCTTCCAGGAATGCGAGGCAGCATGGCCACACAGGCAAGAGCTCAGACTCCGAATGAAGTGGCAGCAGGACTAGACGTCAGGGTGGCCACCCACAGACTCCGGGATGGGGCCCAGCTTCACTGCCCCTTCTCCCTGGAGACCGGAGACGAGCTCAGGGGGCAGGGGCGCCCGCTGGGAGCACAGGGGAGGCGGCCCCTGTTAGCTCCTCCCTCCTGGGGGGCTTGCTTCCTCTGCTTCCCCCGCAGATTGCGGAAAAACCTGAAGTCCCTCATCATCGTGCACCCCTCCTGGTTCATCCGCACGGTGCTGGCCATCTCCCGTCCCTTCATCAGGTAAGGACGCTGCGCCCTGTGCCCTGTGCCGTATGCCGGCCCTCCTCCCGGGTTGTGTGCGTCTCCTGTTTTAATCTGTATTTTGCAACATCTCTACCATGAATATGTATTGTTGCTTTATTATTTTTTTAAGGTTTTATTTATTTATTTGTCAGAGAGAGAGCACAAGCATGGGGAGCATCAGGCAGAGGGAGAGGGAGAAGCAGGCTCCCCGCCGAGCAGGGAGCCTGATGTGGGACTCGATCCCGGGACCCTGGGAACATGACCGGAGCCGAAGGCAGTCACTTAACCGGCTGAGCCACCCAGGCACCCCTGTGTTGTTGCTTTAAACCATTTTCAATCCCATGTGTTGTTATTAAGGGACTAACACAGGAAAAATACTAGCAAGCAGCCCTCCCATAGTAAATGCTGGATACCTTTTCACGTTTACAACCACGACCTGAGTGGCTGATGCTGTCGTGAACCCATTTCACAGAGGAAGGAACTGGGGCTCAGAAGGGTCAAGAGACTCAGCCAGGGTCATGCAGCCAGGTCGCTAGGCCACCACAGTCCCCCCAGAAGTGAGCCCAGCTCTGTCCACTCCAGCATCTGTGTGGGGACCCTGAGGATGCCAGGAGGGTCTGAGCCCCTCCCAGCAATAATATCACGAGCCGTGTGTGTTGGGGGTCCTCGAGACCACCCTCAGCTGTGACGATTCACTGGAAGGACTCAGAGAACTCAGAGAAGCTGTTACTGTTTGCTACAGGGGAAGGATGCAGATCGAAGGTGGCAAAGGACAAAGGGGTCCCCTCCCACAGTCTGGTTGCAAAAGCCCTCAGTTGTCTCTGTGATGATGTGTAAGAATAACAGAGGAATTTACCATCAAGCAGCAAGCTCATTTTGCTCTCCAAGGTTTTCACAGGGGTTTAGCCACACGGGGATGGGGTAGCCAAGCGGCCGACCTTAGCTTCTGTCTTCGGGCGACCCAGAGGTCACACTGATGGGATGTGCCCAAGACGCCCACCAGAGGTCACATCCTTAACACAGACAGACTATGCGGCAGGCCTCAAGGCCCAAGTACCTATGGCACTCAGCAGGCAGGGCATTCCAAGTGCTTACTGGCCACCTCCGCCACCTCCCGCGAGCATCAGGAACCCGTTTTTTTTTTTCTTTGCAATGGGTGGGGTTTGAGCACTTCAACCCGCTGGGTTAATCCTTTACTGCGCGATATAAAAGTGCCCGATATACAGATCAAGTAAAACCAAATTAGTCGTGTGAAACGCCCTAGTCGATCACATAAACCCGATATTTAATTTAATATGATTCAAAGCATTGAATCGAATCGAGATCCTTCAAGGGGTGCCTGGCTGGCTTGAGCGGTAGAGCGCACGTCCAGCTCTTGATCTCAGGGTCTTAAGGTTGAGCCCCACGTGGGGTGTAGAGATTGCTTACATAAATAAACCTAAAAAAAAAAAAAAATCCTTCACGTCCACATTCCCAGTTAATGATGTGTGATGAGCTTGAGGGAAGGTCCACCCTCTGAAAGGATCACGCTCCCAGCGTGAACAATTTGCAAGGAGGTGACCTCGGCCCGTCTGAGTTCAGGGACTTGGCAGCACCTTAAATATTTGCATACTAGTAAAATCAGGGGAGTCTGTATGCTCATCACGGGCTGTGTGTGTAACGATGGACCCCCTGGGCTAAACGGCGAGCACGCACCCCAGCCGAACAGAAGCGCACTCTGCTGTCCTCAGTACCCCCTAACCGGCAGCTGACATTTGCCTCGAATGCAGATAACTCTCTCACCCGTGATTGCTTTCCCACGAGCGAATTTTGAGGGTCTCATTCTGAGCTTTCAAAGCAAAAGAAAGAAGCAGGAGAGAAAAGTGAGTGTCCCCATTTACAAGCCGAGGACAGCGGAGACCATTCTGGGTCCCCGGTGGGCCCCGAGGGTGTGATTACAACTCAAGACGAGGCCGCTTTGTCCTGTGATGATAAGAAGGCTGGGGATGCCCCTCGCCCCAGTGAGGAGTTCTGCCTCCCAGGACCCCCCTCCCCCGCCTGCCACTGTGAGACAGGAAGCTGGCCCCACAGGCAGACAGAGCCTTGTCACCGTGGAGATTTCGGGCACTGGTGTCCGAGGACCGGCATGCTGGGCGTCACCAGGTGGTGGCAGCAGGTGCGGGCTCTGCGCACCGTAAAATCCTTTCTAACAAATCAGCTCGGTCCACCCTGCAAGCCCTCCGGGCTGGACGTACTCAGGTAGTGGAGACAGGATTCCAGCCTGTCTGTCTGAGGCTCACTCCCTGCCCGCGGGCCCTTCTCATGACAACAGGAGGGAGACCTCGGGCTCCAAGAATAACTGGGTTTTTTTTTTCCTTCTTATTAAAAAAGAGTGGTTTGAACTGCATGAAAGCAGTTGGCGCTGCTCATTCCGCTGCACACGGCCGCTTTGTGACTCTCCGTGGGGAACGTCTGTCATGCCTAATCAGTTACGAGTGGCCTTCTGCCGAGCGACAGCTTGCTTTTTCCCTAATGGACACTGTGAACCGTGTAATTCATCATGAGTCTCCCTTTGCATCGGCCGCTAGAAAGCCGGAGCCGAATTTTCATCTCATCTCTAAAAATAGATAGGAAACGCCTTAGCACACTTTTGTAGACGTTGGGCTCTATCTTATGTTTTTGTTTTGTTTTGTTTTGTTTTTTACTGTTACTCGATTATTCTATTATTTTCCGTAGTGCTGTATTCTCCAGGCCTTGTGTCTGTCATTTAGAAACATTATTTGACCTTGAAAGAAAGCGAATTTTGCTTTTCACCAAACTTAGTTTAAATTAAAAAAAATAAAACAAAAAACAGTAACCATGAGTTCAAAGCAGCAGCTGGTGACAAAGCTCAGCAGGGACGCTTCCCTTGACCCCGGGTGCTGCTCTGTCCACCCTCACGAGGGCCACGGGTAGAGGCTAGCCGGGCAGGGACGGAGGTTTGATGGAAGGTGCTCAGGGCATCCCCGTCGGCCAGCACACCTTCCAGGCTTAGCCCGCAGACCTCTCCCTTCTCCTCCTGCCAGCGTCAAATTCATCAACAAGATCCAGTACGTGCACAGCTTGGAAGATCTGGAGCAGCTCATCCCCATGGAACACGTGCAAATCCCAGAGTGCGTGCTTCAGTAAGTGTCCCTCGTGCGACTGTCCCCCGCCCCCATCCCCACGCCACCCCTCCCCTCTCGGATGCCTGGGGAACCAGACATGAGCGGGAGCCGCAGAGCAGAGGGAAACACAGTGAAACACGCACACGTGAGATTAGAGGGTAAGTGGGCCACCAAGCCCCGGCCCACAGCTTGTTTGATCAATCAAGTTTTATTGGCACACAGCCACGCCCATCCATGGACGGATCCACTAGGGCTGCTTCTGAGCTACATCTGAATTGAGTAGCTGTGGCTGAAACTGGCCTACAAAGTGGAAAATACTTACTCTCTAGCCTTTTGTAAGAAAACGGCCCTGATGGAGGGGCATGCTTTCTAATGGCTCTGTGCAATTTCTGGTGCTGAATCAGGCCCCCCAAAACATCTGCTGAGTGGTATCTACCAGATGCTGGAATGAGACCTTTTCTCCGTTCCCAAGAGGAAAGAGAGCCCCCGGGCAGCACACAGACCGGGGAAGCAGGGCCGTGTCTGATGCATTTTACTTTCTGTCTTCCAGGTACGAAGAGGAAAGGCTCAAGGCCAGGAGAGAGAGGTCTGTGCAGAGGGGCCGTCGCATCAGGGCCACGTCAGGGCTGGGGCTGGGTGGGGCCCACAGTTGGGGGGCAGCTGGTGGCTTCCGCTCAGCAGGGACCAATGACATCCACACACACGGCCGTGTTGCGGGCTTTGAATCGGACGAGGGTTCTAATCTGGTCTCCCCCACTGAATCCCAGGGTGATGTTAGGCGAGTAAAAAGTTCAGTTACGTGAGAGATCAAGACCATGGGACCCATTTAGCGAAAACGGTGGCTCGTAGTAATCATGATAAAATTAAGTTGTCCCTTGATAGAGAGGACACAAGCTCCAACCTCACCCCGGACAGACCCAGGAATGCCCCTTCACTAGCTTTCTGGCTCAATTTTCATCAGTGGTATAACCACGAATGGCGGTCACAGGGACCTCGGGGGTATTCCAGTCCCGCCCCACCCCCCCAGAGCGGGGCAGGGCCAGGATTCCTGACAGCATCTTACAGCCTGGGGATCCAAGGCTCAGAGAGGGCAAGGCACCTGCCCAAGGCCACACAGCCAGTCTGGGAAAGGGTTGGGGCTTTCTATCATTGCCAGGCCCTGTGCCTGCCTCAGGGGAAACAGGTGGATAAGAGGGTCGTGGTCCAGAGGGCTCCTCGAATGGCAAAGGAGAGGGACACCTCACCAAGTAAGGAAAGCGGGTCCTGCGGCAGGGTGGGTGACGCGGGCGGACGCGCCACGTAAGGAGCTGAGGGTGTGGCAGCCTCGCACCGGGTCCTTCAGTAATGACGAGCCGAGGGCCGCACAGAGGGAGGCCCAGGGCAGGCAGACGCACCAGCCCGAGCCTTCTCCTCTACCCCCCCTCCCTCCCCCTCTGCCTTCCATCCTGTCTTTCACCCTCTTTCAATGTTTTATTGTGGTAAAATACACACAACATAAAATTCACCATGCCTGTCCCTCTCTCTCCCCGGATGGTGCCCCACCGGCCTCCCAAGCCTTAGCTGTGGAGGGCACAGAGACCGGCCCCGGAGCCGGAGTCAGGACACGGGGTGACAGTGTCCGTACGAGGAGGGCCGCGGGACAAAGGCACAAGGTGTCAGGGGTGCCCAGCTGAGACAAATGTTCGGGGCCTCCCCCCCCCCCCCCCCGTCCTGCCCGCACTCACGCCCCCTTCCCCACGGCCGCCTCTGCTGTCGGTAACCCCTGGGGGCATCTCTGCGCCCTCGGGGCCCGTCCGGGGGCAGCGAGACCCCGTCCATGCTGCCCTCAGAGGCCACAGTGGGCCACGCTGGCTCATCACCCCCGCTGTCTCCCTGTGTCCCCAGCGCCAGGCCGCAGCCCGAGTTCGTCCCGCCCAGGTCCGAGGAGAAGCCAGAGGCGGCACCGGCGGAGGGCAGGTGGGTGTGCGGGTGACCACGGGCGAGGCTGCCGAGCCCCCGAACGGCCGGTAAGAGCGACCACGGGCGCTGTCATGACGGGGACTGAGAAAGCGGTGGAAGTGGCCAGCGTGATGCCGGCCCCGTCACGAGCGCTGGGCTCGGGGTGCCTCCTCCCTCCGTCCCGGGCCGACGCCGCAGAGGCCAGCAGTTCCGCTGAAACCGTCGGGGGTGCCTGGCCGGCTCAGTCAGTGCACAGTGGGACTCTTGATCTCAGGGCTGTGAGTTCGAGCCCCACGCTGGGCTTAGAGAGGACGTCAAAAAAAAAAATAGTCTTTAAAAATAAATAAACAAACTATCAGCTGATAAAATGTAAAAGTCCGCTCCTGTCTGGCTCGGCTGCCTGCCTGCCTGGGGCCGTGGGCCAAGCCCCTGGGTGGCCGGCCCCAGCCCCCCTCTCTTCTCCCGGGGCTATTCTACGGAACCGAAATTCACATGCAACAAACCGTTTTTTAAGTGCGCTTTCTGGGGACCCTTAGGGCACTGGCAAAGCTGGGCATCCTGCACCACTCTCTAGGTCCAGAATGTCACCCCAGAAGGGACCCCAAACCCGTTAAGCCGTTGCTCCCTCCCCTCGTCCCCTTTTCTTCCTTCACACCCAGCAAGTCCTCTGGCGCCTCGCCCTGGGATGGGTGGAAAACACAGCCCGGCTCTGGCCCTCTCCCCACCATCCACCTCTGCCCTGCCCGGCCCGCCTCCTGCATCTGACCCTCCTCATAGCCTCTATCGCCGGTCCTCCCGCGACCCAGAGGCACGGGCTGCCCGGACCGTGAGCGACCTCGGTGGTCTCGGCCCCTCGTCGCTGGACCCCGCCTGCTCACTGGTTATGCAGCAGACACGGGCCAGCCCTTACTTGTAACAGATGAAGATGAAGCCGTGTCGGCCCTGCTGGGGCTCTCGACCAAAAGCCAGGGCTCCCCAGATAGACAAATCATGCTAAGACGTCTCTCTTCCACAGATGTGCGCCAGGTACAGAAGATCAGGAGACGAGGTGAGTGGGACGCAGAGCCATCTCGGTGCCTGATTTTCCAGATGTCCCACGTGGAGCCTGCCGCATGAGAACCGCCCCACGATCCACTGTCTGGGGAGTCAGAGAGGCATCGGCTACCGGGACTCCAGGGTCTCCTCTGTGGCAGGCAGCCTGTTCCTGCACAACTCCAGGGGGCGCCACTGCCATGAGGCCCCGGAGCTAAGCCACATGGTGGCCCTGACCGAGACACTGGCCTGGAGCCAGGCCCCATAAAGCCCAGCTATTTATTTTTATTTTTAATTTTAATTTTAAGTAGCCTCCACGCCCAACGTGGGACTTGAACTCGCAACCCTGAGATCAAGAGTCATGTGCTTTACGGACTGAGCCGGCCAGGGGCCCCCAGCCCGGGCTGTATTACTCAGCCACGGGTACACACCGTTTGCCCACGGCCTGTCTCAGGGTCCCCATCTGTTCCCGATGCCAGGAAAGCCTGTGTGTTGGGGGTCATGGAGACCACCCTCAGGTTCAGGTTTGCTAGACAGACCCACAGAACTCGACAAAGCTGTTGTACTTACAATTGTGGCTTGTTGGGGTTTTTTTAGAATTTTTTTTTAAAGATTTCATTTGTCAGAGAGACAGAGAGCGCACACAAGCAGGGGGGAGCAGCAGAGGGAGAAGCAGACTCCCTGCTAAGCAGAGAGCCTGACGTGGGGCTCCATCCCAGGACTCCAGCATTATAACCCGAGCCAAAGGCAGACGCTTAACTGACTGAGCCACCCAGGTGCCCCATCCGGACCATTTCTTTTTTCTTTTTCTTTTTTTTTTTTTTGAGATTTTATTTATTTATCTGACAGAGACAGCGAGAGAGGGAACACAAGCAGGGGGAGCAGCAGAGGGAGAAGCAGACTCCCCACTGAGCGGGGAGCCCGATGCGGGACTCGATCCTGGGACTCCCGGATTATGATCCAAGCCGAAGGCAGACGCTTAACGACTGAGCCACCCGGGCGCCCCAAGTATCTGACTCTTGATTTCGGCTCAGGTCATGATCTCAGGGTCTTGGGATCGAGCCCCACATCGGGCTCCTCGCTCAGCATAGAGTCTGCTTGTCCCTCTCCCTCCCGCTCTGCTCCTCCCCTCACTCTCTCTCTCTAAAAATGAATAAATAAAATCTTTAAAAATAAAATAATGAAAGACACAAAAGAAGATACTGTAGGAAGCAACGGATGGATGGACAGACAGACAGATGTGTAGGTAAATAGATGGCGGATGGGGGGACGAAGGACAAGGGGCTGCTTTGAAGCTTCCTTCTGGTCTGATTGGAGGCACCAGCCCCAGGGCCGATTGTGCTGCGGCACGGAGGGAGCGGTCCCCTTCAGAACCACACCTGGAAGGTGGGTGGCAGGCAGCAGGTACCCCTCTTGCTGCTGAGGACCCCCAAAGCTGGATTAGGTCATGCTCTTGGATTCCACACAGGGATGCATTCCCCGCTTGCTTTAAAAACAATAACAATGACCTGACCTGTGTTTATTCCTCTCTAGCCTGTCCTGAGGTGACAAGAATACAGAGAAGGACAAGAAAGAAGATTCTAGATGCCAAGAAATCTCTGTCAGACGCCCTCCGGCCCTGGACCTCATCCCCCCCTCATCCTGAGTCCCCGTCTTCGGAGGATGCCAGTCTCCTCCATCCATCTCTGAAACCCAGCCTCCTTTTTAGCTGCTTGAAAATATTTTGTTTTGTTTTGTTTTGTTTTAAACAACGCAGTATTAGTGTGTTCCAGAAAAGGACCCGGTTCTCAGCCCTCCACCCTTCCACGCTCATGAGCTCACGGCCAAGAAGAGCAAGAAGCTCAGGGCATGGCCCGGGTGTCCTTGATGGCTTCAGAGACCCCCTCCCACTGCACAAAGTCCTGATTCAAGACCCTTCTCTTGCTTGTCACCTGGCCCACTTTGGAGCCACCAATGCCCACCGGCTCCCTGGCCGGATCTGGATTCGTTCTTGTGCCTTTTCTTCTAGAAGAGCCCCTGCTGCTCTGGGCATCCGGCCTGGAGCCTCAGCCCCTGACCTGTGCCGTGCCCCCCGGGAACCTCCCAGCCTTCCACCTCCTGGGTTTTCATCTGACCAGCTCCCCCCATCTCTTCTGGCACCCACCTCCTTTGGGAGCATCGGAGCCCACAGCACCAGTGAGCTGCCGATAATTACCCCGGCCCTTCAGTTATAAAACCGCCCCTCCCCATCTAGAACATTCTCAAGCCCCTCTCACATGGATGCCACACCCCAGGGCAGTCCTGGTCAATACCTCCTACTGAGGGAATGAAGTGTACCCCCTTTCCTGATCCCCCCCCAGTGCAGGGTTGGGGTGTGCCGCTCAGGCTCCCACCAAGGGGAAATGGGCTCTGAACTGCGTGAAGGAAGATACAGGGTATTACAGGCTTGAGTATTTGGAAGTTCACTTGGGAAAGGAAATCCCCATGGCCTGGATGCTGTGGGGACCTGCAGTCAAAGGAGGCAAATTTACCTTGGACAAAAGACAGACTTTCCTAATGCAGCCCAAACACCTGTCGGGTGGCCGCTAGAGGTAGTGAGTTCCCCATCTGTGGAGGCATTTAAGAAAAGGCTGGGAAGCGCTTGCAGAATGTGGTCCTCTGCGGTCCCCTCCAATCTTAAGAGTCTCTATTTCTATAAATCTGAGTGAAAGTTGACTGGGCACCTTCTCCGGGACCCCTCCTACTGGCTCTGCCGCTAGCTTCTAGCGGTCGAGATTCATGCGCGCTGAGTATGAGGTTCTCGGCGTCAGTGGCGATGTCAGATGCCTCTCGACCTGGGACATCAGGTGTTTGGAGGTTATTCCAACGGTGGGAGGGAGCCGGTGGTGTTTGGTGCTGAGGAAAAGGAATGCCCAACATTTTGCTGCGCGGGAGAGGGTCCCGCATGTCAAGGAACTGTCCCACCCCAAACACCGGAGACCACTGCGTTGGAAAATGGTGAGTTTCTGAGCGAGCTTGGGCCCGCATCTTCTGCGGCACAGCACTGCCCCAGGAAGGCGGGGACACCTGGGGGCGTGGGGGGCTCTTAAATGTGTGTTTCTGCCGTGTTCCCCAAATGCCGAATAAAGGACAGGACCGTGTTGGGGCCCAGACGTGTCACCAGCAGCCTGAGGCAGCAGAGACTGGCAGATGGGCCGCTTCCAGGCTGCCCTCCTAGAGACCCCACTCCCGGTCTGCTTGGGGCCTGCCCCAAACTCCAGGCCTGGGTGGCCGGCTGTCCTTCCCCAGGATCAACATGTGGACCCCAAAGCTGCAAACTCCCACCTCTATGCACGCAGTCGCTGCCCGGAGGCTGGAACTTGGCTGCAAGCTAAGGGATAGGAACTGATGTGGTCTACCCCGAGCCAGTTACTGAGCGTCCCGGGAGGCGACAGAGGGACAGGAAGCAGCAGACCCCAGCCTCCCGCCCCCCCACCCCCGGAAGAGCCTGCAGGCTGCACGAGAAATTGCAATGGGGTCCACCTGGCCCAGCGTGGCCGGCCCGCCACCCCTCCGGACCACCAGCAGCCACAGACAATGGGCAAGCGGGACCCAGGACCCCAGCTCGGCCGCAGCAGCCCCTCTGGGATCAAGAGAGACCCCGGGGACAGGGGCCGTCCCCAGGCGCGAGAAGTCCCAGCGCACAGCTCCATCCAGAAGGGGCTGCCGTGTCCAGGCCGGCTGCCGCCCGCACCTCAGAATCGGCTTTGCGGAAGGCGTGTGTCTCCAGGGTAGTCGTGGCCAAAACGCAACGGACCCTGGACCCCGGACCTCGTCGGAAAGGGACGCTGGGTTTTCCTCCCGGGACACGGGTTGCGTCCTTAAGTCGTAGCTCACACGCCCATCCTAACGACAGTGAATTTTGTGGTTTTTAAAAACAAAACAATTCATTAGGATTACTGTCATGATGTTCAGACATCATTTCCATGAGCTTTGGGGGATTTTTATGTGGAAATAAAGAAGCGGTAACTGAGAAGGGAGGTTTGTTACTTTTGTCCACCTCCCCAAGGTGTGGCGCTGGCCTTGGGCCGGGAGCAGACGAATTGGCCTGAACTCCTGCCGGGCGACCTCGGGCGGGTGGCCTCAGGTTACCTTGGGTGACCTCAGGTGACCTCTGGCATGTGGCCTCGGGTAACCTCCCAGTCCTGTCTGGAATCAAACCTAGTCAGCAGGTGACAGTAGTAATAATTTAATAATTATATATGTGTTATTATTCCTATTACTGAAAGAGAAGACTCTGTGTCTCTCTACACTCACACCAACACTTCCCACACCGGACTGGGGGAGGGGTCCCCACGAGCGACTCTCCGGCTCCCGGCGGCCACCTGTGGGGTGTCCTGCGACCTAACCCAATCCTGACACTGTGCAGAGTCATGCACGGACCCCACAGGTTAAGGGCTCAGCCCCGCACGTGTGCACGTCCCCACCTCAGACGCCAGTCCCCAGGAGCGGGCCCCCAGGTCACCCACTCTTCTGTCCCAAGTGGCCAAAAATCAGGACTTCCCTCAACCTTCCCCCAGCAGCTCACAGAACTCAAGAAAAAGGTTTACGTGCTTTTTACCTGATCATGACAAAGGATCTAACTCAGGAACAGCCAGCGGAAGAGATGGGGGGGGCAGGGCGTGTGCGAGGGGCGTGTCCCCTGAGCCGTCCCGTCACCCACGGGAGGCGTCCTCACCTCTGGCCGTTGGTGATGAGCCCCACCGCCAGCCCTGCCTCTCCTCGGGGGTCCGCTGGTCGCCAGCCCCAGCCTGTGGCCTTGGCTTTCCACTAAAGGGCGCCTCACAAACAGCAAAAGACACCGCCTTCAGCTTGATCGCTCTGGACCTGTTTCCGGAACCAAGCACAGAGGTTCTCCCTCTTCCCACCTAGGAAGTCCCAAGGGTTTAGGAACTGTGTGCCAGGAGCTGGGACTGAGACCAAGTGTTTCCTTCTTGTGATGCATCACAACATCACATAATAACAGTCGGAGCCCACGCCCCACCCAGCACGGTGCCCGTGTGAGCAAGGGGAGGCGACACGGCCCGCCCAGGGTCACACAGGACAGTGGGGCTGTGCCCCACAGAGGGCAGCCTAGAACCCCCCTGCCAGGTGCAGGAGGAGTGTGCACCCAGGACAGAGGGGCCGGGAGAGGTGCCCGGCCCCGCGGGGCTGGCTTCACTGTCCTGGACGAGGCGCCCCTCAGGGCGGGGCGGGCTGCATAGGGGCACAGCTGAGGCTGGGATCACGGGGGCCGCTCCCACCCCACCG